ACCATGACGCATCGTGTTGGCTAGCTAACTTGAAGGACCCCTCAGGTCGCCTTATCCAATGGAGCCTGAGACTTCGAGAATACGACATTACCGTCATTTACAAGTTCGGCAGAAAACACTCCAACGCCGATTGCCTGTCGCGAGTCCCGTCGACCCACCACCTCCCGAACACCTGAATGAGGACTGCTTCTTGGGAACGATAACTGCCGATGACTTCGCTGAACGCCAGCGGGCTGATCCAGATTCTAGGAGCCTAATCACCTCGAGGGCAGGACCTCCACTGCGAAACGGCCTTCTACATAAAAACTTCTCGCCGCTTGGAGCCAAGTACCTTCTTGTGGTGCCGTCAAGATGCCGTCAAGTACTATCTTGAGCAATATGAGCTCGAACACGTGAACGCGTATTGAAAGGCCTCGAACCCTACGTCGGCTAATTTGCAGCGGCCGTTGTGGGAAACAAATTGGAAAGGGCGGCGCGCTTACGCTAGCTATTGACACTTCCTCCTCGATATTATTGCTGGAAAACGCGGGTTATAGCGTGTCAGCTGCTACTAGTTCCTGTCGGTAATACCAATTCACATCAACGCGCATATCCACAACCAGTTGACCTAGCAGGCTATGAAGCTACAAAAACATCGGCAGCGACGTAGCCGGCCGCGATGCACAGGTCGTGTTTTTGTTGCATCTAGATGGTGTTCGCTGAGCATTTTGATACGCATTCTTGTTTTCAATGATTTTTTTTATTTTCGTGTTATCATTGCTAGCGGCTGAAGGCAGGCGCTAAACTGCCGTTCAACAGCAACGATAATGCGGGTATGGTTAGGCGGGAATGCCAACAGTCAGCGGAAGAGCACCCTCCTTTCCCCTCCAGTTTCGGCAACGCCATTCTCGTACCACGTTTTCTGTATTTTGAGGCTGTTGGTCACGCACTCGCGCATTCAAACTCATATTGCTTACGATAGAACATTCTTCGGCAGCAGACTAATGAATGGGCCATCTATTGCGACTCGAGGGCAGCCTTACAGACACTAAGGTTCGTTATGCAGCACGGGTTACACGAACAATGAGTATATCAGATAAGGCACGACTACCACGAAGCGCTCATCAAAGGTCACGATATTGTATTTCAAAGGTTGCCGAATCATTGCGAAATTGTTGGCAATGACCGCGCAGATGAAGCTGCTTGATTGGCTCATGACCAAGACCTGCTTACGCCCATACCACTTTTGGGAACAGACGCTGCAAGCGACTTCAATCACTTTCTTGCCCTATAACTCTCCTGCACTTGAATACGCCGGGTTTCTTCAATGCGCGCCTGTATTCGATCGACTCAAACTTGCAACTTCGTTTGTCATCCGAGCTCCCACGATGCGCTGAAAGTTTTCTGTGTTGCATGAGGTCGCACGTGACATTTACGAATGCGTATTCTCGTCTCCTTGGAATGGTGAGCAGTTCGGCATGCAACATCTACGCCTGCGAGGAGAGGCTTGAGCACATTCTATGCCACTGTCCAGCCAGTTTGAACGACGTATCACGGAAGCCAAGTGCTGTCAGCTGGATTCATGGCGGCTTACAGGAAAGACGATCCTGGGACCTTGGCTGATGGTTTCACATTCACGCACAGCCACGAAAACCCTCTTGTACTTCTTAAGTACTACTAGACTTCACGAGCTCTTGTGAAAGTACAGTGTGAGACTGTGCTGTGTAGCCTCGAGCTGACTACTCATCCTTTCCTTTCTTACTCTTCTTTTTTATATCTCTTTCCTGTCTATTATTCCCCCTTTCTCCTACCCCAAGTGTAGGGTAGCCGACTAAGCAAAGCTTCGTTGACCTCTCTGCCTTTCCTCTCTATTTATCTCTCTCTCTCTCTTCAGCTCTGCGACCAGAACCCCTCCAGGCCCTGCATGGTGATCCAATGGCAGGACACCTTGGTGTTTCCTGCACGCTCGCTAGGATAGTAGAAATGTGCTACTGGCCGCGCCTTACCACCGACGTCGCTCGTTACGTGATGACATGCCGAGGCTTTCAGCGACTAGCAGGCCTCGGCATGTCATCAGACTAGCAGGCCTAGCAGGCCTTCTTCAGCTAATCGAAACACCTCGTCTACCGTTCCAACAAAACGGGATGGACCTACTGGGGCTGTTTCTGTCGTCAAATTTGGGAAACAAATGGATCGTCGTGGCTACTGACTACCTCACTCACTACGCTTAAGCAAAGACCCTACCGAAAGGTCACACTGAAGAGGTAGGTCAATTCTTTGTTGAGAACACTGTCCTTGGTCATGGCACCCCAGAGGTTGTCATCACCGATAGAGGTACGGTCTTTACTGCTGATTTGACTCAAGCCATTTTGAGACATAGCCAGACAAGTCACCGCCGCACCACCGCCTACTACCCAAAGATAAATGGTCTCACCGAACGACTAAACAAGACAATCACCGACATGCTAGGCATGTGCGTGGACGTCGAACACAAGACGCGGGACGCCATCCTTCCATACGTGACCTTCGCATACAACACGGGCGTGCAGGAGACAACGAAGATGCAACCGTGAATGTTGGTCTACGGAAGGAACCCGGCCAAGACGCTCGACGCAATGCTGCCCAACGTCACTGACGAAGAAAACCTCGGCGTCACTTTCTATCTTCAGTGCGCTAAAGAAGCTCGTCAACTTGCCCTCCTGCGCATCACAAATCAGCAGACGATTGACCGCTGCCGTTACAATCTCTGGCGGCGCTTCGTGGAATAAAAGCCCGGGGAACGTGTATGGACGCCGATACGCCGACGAGGACTCAGTGAAGAACTTCAGCGACGGTTCTTAGGACAACACGGGGTAGTACGACGTCTCGGCCCACTCGACTACGAGGTTGTCCTTGATGACATTACGAACAATCAACGACACCAATCGCGACCTGAAGCTGTCCATGTCACGCGCCTGAAACCGTTTCATGAACGTTAACGAACTGAAAGAGTGTATATTGTTGTTGCTGTTATTATTGTTGTATTGTACTTTGCTATTTTTACTTTCTTACATTATTATTGCACTTTCATCTTCTGTCAAAGCATCCGGACGATGCTTTTTTCACCGGGGGGCAAAGCCACGCTCCTTCCCCAAGTTTTCTTATCACCTCGTTAGGCTGTACGCGATTCTCAGTGCAAACCACGCCTACAGTGTTCGAGGAGCTCCAGGACTGCAGTAGATAATTTGTTGAGGTTACAACCACTTCATGAGCATTTTAGATTATTTTGGAATATACGTCACCGCTAGCGATAAGGCTATATTATATTGTTCGATGGCGAGTGTATAAATGCCGACACGCTGCGGTGCTTGTCAGTTTATCGAATGCCGACGCTGCATTCACCGCTACCAGTGCAAGTGTGCAACTGTAACCCGACTTTGCGTTCACTGGGCACATGCTCGCCTAAATAAACAGTTTTATTGGACCATCTAGGCTGCTTCCTTCAGCCACGTCACGACTCCATGACAATATGCATCGGCAGTCTGGGATATGTCCATAACATCCAAGCAGACTGAAGAGAATGAAACGTTTTGAGCTGAACAGAATCAAATATACCGTATGATTGGTAAATGGCAGCAAAGGCGGAAAATAAGTCTAGCTCCTGCAGCAAAATTGTGAGAGATAGACCATCGTATGAGATAAATAGCATACATTAACGAGTTTTAAGAAAAATACAAATCCTACTGATATTCTCACTATTAAGAGTCATGAATTGTATGATCGAAGTGCTGATCATCCAGCCTGTTATGATGGTAAATATAGTGCACGCACTAGAAATAATAGAAGCAGTCGTGAAACACGATGTGTTTTTGGTGGGTGCGGGGAGGTTTAATGGGTGTGTGGACATTCAGTGGGTGATAAAACTTATTTCACCTCTCCACGCCATGTTGAATGGGTGGTGGGTGTGTTGTGTAGACGTCGAGATAATTCGTCATTGGGGACCCTTGATGGGCAAGGTAGGTTGGTGAGGCAAGCATGGAATATGTGCTGAGTGAGTAAGGATTGTAACAGACCTGAGAGTGAAAGTATGATGGGGAGCCTGTGTCGAAGGTTACAAGTATAATCCTTATAATAAATTCTTTTTGATTCATTGTATTTATGGCGCACAGAAATATACAGTAATCACAAAAAGTAGGCTAGGCGATTTACAACACAGGAGCAAAAATATGTCAGCATGGAATGAAATTGTGGCTAGAAGAATTATAGAGGAGCTGCAGAACTATCTGTATATTGCAGAACGTTAACCGAGGCTGTGAAGATTTCAAGTTTTATAAAGTTCCCAAAGAGTTCGGAAAACAACTACTCAGAGAAAGGCAAGTCAGACATGCGTGCATCATGAATTAGCTTAAAGCAGTGCACTTCTGTATAAATATTGATGTCTGAGCCCAATGGGAAAACCTTCTTCACCAACACCAGCGTTACTGCTTTCATGAGAGAGTGCGCACGGCGTCGTTATTAATTGTGACATGTCATATATGACGCTTAGCATGAATAGTATATTACTTGTCATCACTCAAACCATACCAGCATTGATGCTTTAGAGCAGCTGTGCAATAGAAGCGGAAAAGGGGAATTGGGGTACTCTGGGAAGTGTCGACGCCATCGAAAATAGAATGCAAATGGTCGTATCAGCTGCTGGCTCAGCAGACCACAACAGAAACGATTTCGACAATATATCTCTCTGAAAAGAATAATTGGAACAGTCCAGGGATCATTCACAAAAAGACAAGTGAAAATTATATGATGTGAAACTGAGAGGATTTGAAAAAGTGCAGGAATGAGAGAATGAAAGTTGGCTACAAAGTGGTAAAAAGAAGCAAAAGAGCATATGCAGACACAGTACATCTGCGCATAGTGTAGTGACATGACCACTGAATGGAAACTATCCGACCTAAATAGAAATGAAACGCTTTACGCAATCATCGTTCGGCCACTTGTTAATACCTCCAGGCTATTAGGAGTTGTGAATGCCGCGTACTCACCTTTTAAATAGAAGAAGGATGATCAAGCTCACAAGAAAGAATTGGAAGTCGAGGGACAGGTACCAAAAGTGAGGTATAATTGGCTGAAAAAAAAAGAAAATGTATCTGTGTTAGATTGAGCACAAAATGAAGCACTCACGTGGCTATTTTGTCACACTATTCTCAATAGTCTATTGAGAGCTATGTACAGGCGTACGTAAGCGTGTCCAAATGACAGAACCCTTTATGCCAGAAGGCATAAGTCCTTAAGCGCAGACGCTGCTCTTGAAAGAAGGATTAATTTGGGCCAAAGAGTGGCTTTTGGCTGGTGCTTAAGCGCACATTGGTGGTGGCACTCTCCAGTCTATACAGACAGTGCATTGACATTTGCATCTCAGCGCACGCTGACGGATCCTTCACGCAAGAACAGAAAGGGTATCGCAAGACCTTGCGGGTGTTTCCTGCGAATCTTCTGTTTCCTTCCCTAACTATTAAAATGATGTTGATAGTAAAACCTAAATAGAATATAAAGCAATATGCGCAATGTTTTGCGAAAGCACAGCAAATTAGGTTTCAAATAGCGTATGTATTCCCCAACATTTGTGATTCGTAAGAGTCGGTGCTGAATGTTCGGAAGTTTCCGGCCCGTATTCACACACACACACACACACACACACACACACACACACACACACACGTGATGTGATATGTGGGGTTTAACGTCCCAAAACCACCATATGATCATGAGAGACGCCGTAGTGGAGGGCTCCGAAGATCCACCTGGGGTTCTTTAACGTGCGCCCAAATCTGAGCACACGGGCTTACAGCCTTTCCGCCTCCATCAGAAATGCAGCTGCCGCAGCCGGGATTCGAGCCCGCGACCGGCGGGTCAGCAGCCGAGTACCGTGGCCACTAGACAACCGTGGCGGGGCCACATACGCACGTAAACAAAGCCGACCAATTATCCCATACTTAGAGTAGATGCATGTCTGACATTTGTGCCTGCTCACCTGCTTAGTTAGAGATTTCACTAGCCTTTATGTTGTGCATGTTCGCAAGAACACACCCCACCACGCTACTCTAAACTGGGTGTTCATCCATATGAATGTCATTGTTGTCTCTCATCGAGCGAAATTTAGCTCACGCAGCATGTCTTGCATAAGCGTAGATTTATCGCACAGGTGATAAATCTGTTGTTCGAGTGTAGCTTTCGCGGCCGGGACGTGAAAGAAAGCTGGTTCACTGCGTGCTTTTGGCACCATCTGAATGCGGCAAGTCACGTCGCCAATCCTCTGAACTTTGTCTAGCGTATGCGGGCGATGTGGTGACGACGCGACAGCTAGGTGGTGTGGTGCACGCACTTTGGCTATATCTTTTAAAGAATAAGGCAACCAAGCGGTAACTCGCGCTTTTTACTCGCGCCGGCAACTCACGCCGTTTACTAGCGCACTGCTGGCTTTCAAAAGAATACAGGCTTGAGATATTGCGTGGTACTCTGAGTTTGCAAAGTCACTATTGTTACAGGTAAATAAGAGGTCGGTGCACAATTATCTACAGCTTCTGTAATGAAGGAACACTAGGAAGAACTCAGAAGCAGTATCTTTTAATCTCTTTAGACGACTGCCAGGGTATATTTTAGTCCAGTAAGTAGGTGTTTGTGCCAAACATCACCTTTTTTATCTATTTAGGCTGATTGCTTGGTTTTATTGTCTGAAGGCCCACATGGTCTCATTGACAGCCCGGACGTCTCGTTTGCAATGCCCGGATAAGAACGGTGGAATTTGGTTCAAGGTCACTTGGAGGTCACCAATACAAGAGCTAAAAATTGTCATGCTTAAAATCACTTATGCTGTAAGAATTCGTAGAAAATTACGGTCATTCGTGACACCTACGTACCATCGAAGTTGACTAACGGCAAAGAGCATTCCCGAACATTTGTCAATCCCGACTCATTTTTGTAAGTGTGCTTGGCTCTGACAGCTTCGCTAATGATTTGGGCAGCAGCACCAACACGGGTTGAAGTATCATCTTTCGACCATTTTTTAACGTAAGTAGTTTCTGTGAATAGAGGCCCCGTTCCTTTGCCTATAGCTTTCGGTAAGTAGCGGCAAGTATCTCTTTCGACTGCAATGGATTTTGTTTTTTTGTGCTGATTCCTGCTATTAAGTTCACGCCCTACTTTTCGTACTGTGTAAAAGAACCCACACGAACGTTCGAATGCACATTTCAATTCTTGATGTGCCGCACCGAAAAAGTGAGGGACCAAATATTGTTGCGGTGCATTGTAACCGCGGCAATGGTTGCAGACAAATGTGATGACCACTTGGAATGGCGAAAGATGTTTTGCAACATAAATACTTTATGAACCGGATTACGGTGAACCGTGCATAACCATTATACAACTTTATTTACAATATTTTGGTGTGGGAGTTAAAGCTGTGGGAGCCACTTTGCCATCTCAGCTGTCGCATTCCGACGCTTGTTTGTGTAGTTAAGTGCAATATGAGTCGTCCCGCTTGGTGCCGAAACTGGATGATTACAACGCAAGCCTGATAAGGTGGTATCCGCGGTATTCATGAACCCACCTTAACTTATTGCGGAAAGGCTACTACCTAAAGTATGATAAAAGTTTAAGTATAAGAAAAGTACAAGGCGGATTTCAGAAACCTCCCTTATTCTGTCAAAAGGGCGCCTTACGAAAGGCGTCCTTAACACATCAAGTATAGGCCCTGGTTGCCAGGATTGGTAAATTTTTCTAAAATCATTACCTCGAGCAAAAATAAACTAGCGTCACTGCAAGAAACCAAGAACAGTATGCGCAGAAGCAGCCCAACGTAAAAAACAGAAGTGTTTCTTTAGGCACCGGCAGTTTTTGGTGCAATACACGTTTTTCGTCTGGTCACTTTTCTGCAACTCCCGTCGACGCAGTGGGGTCGTTAGCAACGTTTCCAGAACTATGTAAGTTGCAAAACTCTTCGCGTCCGACGACCCGTCATATAGCGCCGGGACAGCTTCCGCTTTGGTGGCGCTGGCGGCGCAACAAGCCTCCGCTAGCAGACGAAAACTCGTTGTCGTCGTGGCAAGATGCTGTGGCGGCCGTTCTGAAAGATCTTTGCCAAATATATATTATCGGGAGTTGTGCTGCCGCAGAAACCTAATACTGCGTAATATTTAGTGGTGTAAGGCAAATACAGTAATTATGGCTTTCTGAACTACCCAAGAAAAACGATGCTTGATATATATAGCATAACATACGACTCTGTCGATGCTTGATATATATAGCATAACATACGACTCTGTCTGTTTGTTGCTAGTTGGTGTACGTTCACAATTTATTTTTTAGGCGCGAAAAATCCAATCACGATGTCTTGTATCTTCTCTTGTGACCATGTTTTTCGAGCCTTAAAATAAATTACAAGTATGTGGCGCAATTTTGTTGCTTTTCTATGGTTGTGTAGTCATGCGGCTTTTTTTGTCATGTCGGTCACATTCCTTAGCAGCTTGAACCGTCGAAAAGTTGCGCATGCGCCCCTTTCCTTGTGCATGTCTTTTTTTCTGCTTCTTTTTGAGTTCCTCTTATAAAACGTGTCAACACAGCTGAAGCCAAAGCTTCGAGCAGAGACCGTACTTTGAGGTATCGGTGAGCGCTTCGTAGTCATTACTCACGAGGCTGCCTGTCGACGCATTTGGATGAACACACTTCCAGCTTTTTTACGTCCTCCAGAAGTTCTGCCAATGTGGTGATGGTATCTGCAATGCCGGGCGACTTGGCTAAGTGATAGTGACGGCTCCTAATGGTGACTGTAACATCTTCTGCGATGACTACGCATTTCTCCACAATGCGCTCTTTTTTTTCTTCTTTCAGCACTAGAAATACTACAAGACGTCCTGTCTCGCCATTCTCAACAACTTTCCCCCAGCATGCAGCAGGCAAAGAAACGTTTTCTATGTCTCGAAGTGAAATGACGCCACTCGTTGACGGCATGTCGGGACTTATTTCACTGTCTTCGACCTCAGTTCTCGAAGATAGTCTATTGTTTTTCGCTGATCATATTCTGGAAAGTACTCCACTCCTATCAGGCAGCTTTTGCTTTTTGTCACTGGTTTTGAAAGGTAAGCGGGCAAATTTGGGAACATCCGTGGAACGCATCCTTCGACAAAGTCCCACATTCCTCTGGTGATTTCTACTTTCTTACCATTGATGACGTTACCGAAAGTCTTCAAGATGTCTTCCTCATGAAAAGTGCATATCACACACACGCGATGTGTTGAGTAGATTCTTACCCTCATGAGCAATAGCGTAGTCCCATGCCTCTCGCTACTCAGGTACACGCGGGGCACAAAAGAAATGTCATGGCTGTTAAATGTGTAGATTAACTGATGGCCAGGCGGTAGTGACTACCGTGAACAGTAGGCCATCAGGCCCGCGAGGAACACGAGAACATGTTGAGACCTTAGCCCAGAAAGAACTGTGGTTTATTGTTTCCCAAAACGGCCACCCCCGCCGCTGTGCCAGGCTTGCACAGCTCAACACAACTATCAGCGCCGCGTGGGGGCGCTGCATTTGAACCAACATTGTAACACTCCTCCCCTCCTAGGAGGAAGACTACGGGGAGTACCTATTCACCGGTTTCCTAGTTCTTGTGCCACGTCGCAACTTCGGCGAGCTAGGCGTAGGCACGACAGTCACTGTTCACATGCACACCACTGTTGAGCGCAGTCCCGTCACTCTCCGTGTCACAGCTACTCCTCGAGAAGCTGGTTCCAGGTAGCTGTACCTGATGAGTCACTCCTGGAACAGCTGGCGCATGATGAAGCGGCGGCTCCAACTGTGGTGGAGCTGCAGCGATAGCCGTTTCAGGAGAGGCCAATGTTTCTGTCTGAAGAAGGCGAAAGTGGTCGCTGTGTCGAATTCCCAAGGTGCCATCTTCAAAACAGACACTGGCTGATAATAAAGTGACGTCCACGACACTGGCAGACACCCAGGGTGTGCCCCTGCGAAAGTATCGCGCGTACACATCATCACCTGGCTGCAGTGATGGAGCCTGCCGGGACCCTCTGTCAGCATACAACTTCTGCTTGAGTTGTTTTAGGAATAGAGATG